ATCGCTGAGTTTGTGAAGAATCACCATCAACCAATTAAGTGGGGGAGGATGTCACAGTTATGCTTGTCCAAAGCCTGTTACATGTGGCCACATGTCGAATGTCTCAGTCATGCTTGTCCAGGACGTGCTGTCCATGGCCACACGTGCATTTCAAACCTCTTTTGCTTGCTTGGATGTGTACTTAAGGTCTTTACTATTTTTGTCATGTCAATAAGGGGTTGTATGACCATTCACCACAAGCATGTCACCAACCAATGCTAAAATGCCCCAAAATATACTATAGGGAATGGACTCATCGTCAATTCTTCGTGCTCGGTTATATGCTATCAAAGTTGTGGTTGTTGCTTATTTTCTTTTAGCCTATAAATATTGCTATTTTACAAATTATTTTCAACACATTTCATTGCTCGTGTTTTCTAAAACATTTTCTCTCAAGCATGACACAGACTCAATCATACGTCTAAATTATCAGCAACTTACGATTTTCATAAAGTCTCTTACTTAATTTGTCTCTGGATTGAGATCTACATGCCTCCAAGCGGGTGGAGGCATGTAAGCATGTAGAGTGGGATTCATTTCGTCGACTATTTTTTGTTCCATTTTTATAATGGCCTTAATATTATATGAATTAGGACCTACTAGTAAATTTTTAGAAGGCACGTGTTATTCATGTAAGTAACCATTTAGACATTTTTCAAGTAATTCTTATAAGGATCGTTAGGACGTGCTAGCGTGTGAGCATATCTTACCTTAGATTGTTAGAGTATGTATTTTTATGATTTTAAAAGGGCAATTTGGATGAGAATATTATGTATGTTGTAAAAAAATTACAGAAATACCCCTAGGATGAAAATTAAGTTGTATGCCTATTTGAATGTTTTCCACTTTGTTAGAGAGGAGGATAAGATGTTGTGATCTATGCTCTGGGTGATTGATGGATGTTATCTCTCCATTGAGTTTGCATGAATGTTTAGAATATGATGATAGGAATATCTCTCTAAAAAAGCTTGCATGAGAGAACTAAGTTAAGGTTAGGGCGTTAAAGCTAGAGCAATTTACATATTGACCTAGGTCAGTATGTTCCCAATAGACCGAGCACTCTAGGATCGTGAGCAGTGATCATAGGTCTAGACTTAAGTGCACCTAGAGACTTAACTAGCCTCGAGCATTCTAGAAATTTAAGAGAGCTTATGAGACCATTAGCAGCACGAACGATATGAACTTGAGAAGTTACTACTATGTGTAGAAGTGGGTCGAGAGCTTGTAAACCATTCCTGAGAGGAGATAAAGGACTACATAAGTAGTTGACTTGAGGAACTACTATTGTGTGTAGAAGTAAGTCGGGAGCCAGTAAACAACCTTGAGAGGGAATGGGGGACTACATAAATAGTTTAGCTCAAGACAAATGATATTATTATGTGTGAAAACAATCAGGGATCCCCTAAACATACTCGTTGTACAGTAAATCCACCTTGAGAGGGGGTGAGGGACCACGTGGTTGATCGAGTAGCTAACAGCCACACAAGATTACTCCACTTAGATGTTGATTCTATGGTTTTTCTTGTGAAAGGGTCGGATGCCACATTGTCCTATGAGATATGATGTGTCGCACCTCAACCCAAGATACGGAATGTTCACTATTGTGTCTATGCAAGCTTAATAAATATGAGAACGTAAAGTTGGTTCATGATCTCTTATGGATGTATATAATAAAATGATGTAAAATTCACAAGAATAAGTGCAAGTATACACTATTGTAGCAAGTAATAAGTAAATTATTGATTCCATAGAGAACCTATCTTTTTGGTAAATTTTATTGCTCGAAATTAAGTGAGTTTTTCGGTAACATTCAAATGGATGTTGGTGATTTTAACTACATAAACAAAACTAAAACAGAGTGCCACTTCTATCGAAAAACAGAAAATGATGAGAAAGTCAACTATAATGAGAAAGGTTCGGCTAAGAGATATTAAATAGATAAGTTGTTGAGTTTTGTGGTAGATTTTAGTTCATTTAATAGATTTCTAAGCCCACTTTCGAGGGTCATGAATGATGATTATTTCCATAATTCTTATAATTTCTATTAACAAGGCTCTAGAAGAAGAATTATTTCTAACATTTATATTACACTTCGAGTCTCTTTGCTATGGAACCAGAGTATTAAAGAGAATTTCATTGCTCCCTCACTTCTCCCAAATAAGAGAACAACTATGTATATAAAGTAGCTAATTAAACACACATGTAAATCATTAACAACAACTCTTTAATAAACTAAAATCATACTGTCAACATACTTAAACTATATAAAACTCTCTCGCCTCCCCTATAAAGTTTAGCTCTCCATATAAATTGAATTAAATAGAGGAATCTGCATCTCAATCATGTAAAATTGATGGAATAAGAAAAGAGAACAAGGAAATAGAGAGTTATCCCGGTTTGTTGTCGTTCGTTAATGAAAGTTTCCTTCTCTTGAGCTCTCACGTCCACCTCTTTGCCCTAATCAATCCTTGTTGGTCTCTTTTTCCTTCTCCGGTCAACAGTTGCTGGATTAGGGTTTTCTTCTTCTTCTCTCGTTTCACAGCAGTTCACTGCAGCAAAGGCTGTTGGTGTGTAATTCGATTTTTCTCCCCAAAGTGTGGCTCTCCTCCTCTTGGTCTTTTCCTTTTATATTGAGCATGGGTTCCCCTTTAGGGCTGGAATAAGTTGTCCACATAGATGTTCCTTTTTGGGTAATCAATGACTCACTTTAACTGCTGATGTGGATTTAAAATTTTCATGTCATCACTCATCTATTTTCAAATTTGCTACTCCCTCATTGTCCAGCATAAATGTTTGAAATTTTACCACATAACTCAATTAAATTAAATGTACAATTAAGATCCATTTGTGCCAGATCATATTTTTTTTATGTTGGGCCGAAATAAACTAATTCATGCTCACGAAGTAGAATAAATGGGGCAAATAATGAGAAAATGGTAAATAAGAGTGTCATATTAAATACAAAAAGACTTGATATGACTCTACCTTAGGGAGTTATCAGTTCACTTCGAGATAAGATTCGTAGTCCAAGAGATTCGTGGTGCTAGAACCTAGTAAACAGTAACCGAACCCTGACATGGTCTATAATATGTAAAAGAACCAATTGTAACTTCAATACTTTCCCAAAAGCTTAAATAGTTGAATAGCACGATATTTTAATTTTTAGTCACAATCCTCGAAATATTTAATGTATTAGAATTGTAAGAATATTTAGAATGTCAAAAGTAATGTAAAAATAAAATATTTAATGTATTAGAATTGTAAAAATATTTAAAATGTGAAACTAATGTACAATAATAATTAATCGTGAGTTAAGGTTGTCAGGTTCAGTTGCTTCTTTAACCACCGCTGTTTTTGTCTTTAGCGAAGATCTTCTCGATGTGACTATCACTATTATTCTCATTTAATTATTTTTTGATTGATTTTTCTCTTTTGTTATCAACCATGAGTGATCGGATATAAATCAAGGTATCAATCATGCAATATAAACCTCAAAAAAGATGAGAAGAAAATGTTATTCGAATTATCAGATGATGTTGCAATTCATGTCACATTAAAGAAGAAGCTTTGTTTATTCTTAGATAGTTACAAATTTTGGGTGGATGATAATTTAGAGTTATGGTGTTTCTTTAATGTATTTTAAGACTTATATTACGTAGTGGCTAATTATGGTCATAAAATATACCTAATGATAATTATGATCATAAAAATATAAAAGCTATAATTCTTGGAATGCCTCACGGTTTTAATTTTGAGGCTATATAAATCTATATATGTTTACTTTCATTTAGCTAAGGGCTAAGTTTGTCTGCAATTCTGTGTAGTTTAGATTGCATGTTGACATGATCAATCTTGCTTGTGGAGTGATTCGAATCTCAAACAAATATTTTTGTCCGGAGATATTTGATTAATAAGATAATTCAAAATTTACTTCATTTTGGTGATTCCTTATCATTAGGGCTAAGTGTTTATACCTACCTTTCTCTTTAGCCAATAAATTTATTTGCAATTCTATGTAGTTTAGGTTGCATGTTTAGAATCATCCAAGCTTGACATGATCGATGTTGATGTTGCTAGGGAGTGATTCGAACCTTAAACAAGTATTCTTACCTTGAGATATTCGATCAACAAGGTAATCCAAATCTTACTTTCATTGTAGTGATTTCTTATCATTTGGTATAAAGATTTTCCTTGGATTGATTCCTTACCAACCATTGGTGAAGTTGTACCTTAACCTCCTTCCATGCTAGAACCACTTGACTACTATCGACCAAGGCACGATATTGTTGCCAGACTCAATGAACAAAGAGTGATATGGGTTCAAATTATTGAAAATTTTAAACACTATCGCCCCTCCCCTCGAGTTGTTGCCTGAACCAATTTGGATCATGTCAAGTTTATATGAGATGCAACATTAGTTAGCGATTCGATTGGGTAGACTAAAACTCGTTTACAAGAACTTATGTCTCAAAATTCCCTTTAGTAAAGGATTTACAAGATTTTATTAAACCTCCTGAATTATTCTAAGCGTATAGGTTGGATAGTTTCAGGTTAAGAAAGTTGAAAGACGAAAAAATTCATTATCGAGCATTATTTGTTAAGAAATAGAAATAGATATAAAATAATTAAATATTGAGAATAAAATAAAATATACTGTAAATCAAATCATAAATAAAAAATATAATATCGAAGATATATTTCATAATTAAATATATTTTTCAATATTTCAATATTATTGTAACATTATTGTAATATATAAGGGGCTCTTTTAATAAAGCTTAGCTTAGATAATTAATTATATGTTTGAATTGAAGTTGAATTTTATGAAATTGTGTTTTAAATTAAGATATGATATAACATTCAAATTAACCAAAATTCTACTAATATTTATTTTGTGTAATTTAACCAACAAAATACGTTAGTTCTACGGTATATAAAACCCTCCTCTTTGATTCCACTTGGAACGAACCGAGAGGGGTGAAGAAATGTTAGCTGTCGTCTTTTTCTGGGTCTCCTTCTTTCTCCTGCTCCTCCTATTGTTCAAATTCGCCACCGCTCATGGTAATTATCGTTGCAATTTTCATTCCACTATTGTTGAATGGTTAGAAATGTGGAGAATTTCATTTTCTGTCTACTGCTTAATTGCTTCTGTTCAAATTCTTAGGGGACTTCACTTTAATGTCCAAAAAGCATGTCAAGCGAGAGGAAATTGAAGATAAGGTCTGCTAATTTCGAGTTTTCTGTTCTTCTTCACTACTATTCTTCATCAAACTAATGATCATTCTTTTCTTATGTTAATTCGTACTATACTGAATCAGGTCGTTTGGATTACTGGTGCTAGCCGAGGAATTGGTATTCTGCTCAATATTTTGTGTTCTTAAATTCCTTTTACTATATTGAGCTTTAATAAATCAAGAATCTTCTGCTACATCGTCTGTCTTTATTTGGCGTTTTTCGTATCTCTTCAAAATTTCCGTTGAATTCAGGGGAGGTTCTTGTAAAACAACTCGCTGGTTTGGGGGCCAAGCTCATTATTTCTGCACGGGATGAAGCTGGTTTAGAGAGAGTGAAGAATGAGCTCTCTGGTTTGCATTTTTTATGTAAAAATTTGCGGAAGGAAGTTTCTTATTGTGCCAATTATTTTCTCTCTAAAGTAGCTTTTGATGTCACAGGTAAATTTGCACCTAATGAAGTGAAAGTTTTACCTTTAGATTTGTCATCTGGGGAAAATAAGCTGAAAGAGGCTGTAGAAATGGCAGAATCATTTTTTCCTGGCTCTGGTGTGGATTATATGATCCATAATGCAGCTTTTGAGCGTCCCGTAAGTGACTAATATTTTTTACATATTTACTTGACCTGAATAATGGCATCATGAATTTAATTAATCCTCTAAGAACGTGTGTACTCTGTTCTCATGAATTTAATTAATTATATGATCAGTCATCAATTTTCAATGTTCGTGTTATTCTCACCAACATGTGTACTCTGTTCTTTAACTAGCCTGTGGCTACTGGCAGACAAGTTTCCATGTTAATGGATAACGGCAAGAGCCCATGCTTTGTTGTACATGCAGATGTCAATTTCTTGCTTTATAGATCCCCTTAGTAATGTAGCATGTGATACTTCATGAAATTAACTAATCTAGAATCTCCAAACCAATTCAAGAAGGGAAAAAATAATAACCTAGATACATTTCAACATATCAGTTTAAATAATAAGCCATAGATTAGAGTTTGCTGCTTAGCATGGATACAGGTTGAAGCTATTAATAAATGAGGCGGCAACTTAATTATGTTGTTTGGTATCAGTTGGGAATTGTATTGACTAGGAGTAATCGCTTACTTTTACATTTCTTTTTATGAAAAGAAATCGTAGAGTCATTGCAGCAGCCGACATGCACCTTGTGGGGACGTGCTTTCATGGTGATTTTTTCGGCAGTTGTTGATAACACTGTTCTGTACATCTATATTTTCGTACAGTTCAAACTTTATGCCACACTGAGTTATTTAATTTCCTCTTGGACATTGACGGATATAACCTATGTCATCAATGTAGGTGCAATACAACAAAAATTAATGGGCTGGGTTGGCTTGATCGATTCTTGAGCTTAGTTGAACAGCCATACCCAAAATTTTGGATGATTATTGTCCTACAAGAGGAGGATAACACCTTGGTTTAATCAAACCCAACCTTGTTGTGTGAAGTGTATATGCATGTATGTATGCATGCATTCTTTCCCAAAAAAGATGTATGTATGCATGGATTAATGCTCATATAGTTTGATATGTTCCTCAAAATCTCAATCCTCGGTTCTCGTGCCATGGTATTCACAGGACCTAGCCCTTCTCTGCTACTGTTTAACACACATATCACCATTTTTGTCTTTACCTGAAAGTGATCTCTCTCTTTCACGCCTTCACTATGAATCATTTTCATCATGCACTCTTTCCAATCTTTATTGCCCGTCTAAGTTGCTCATTTAATGTCATTGTGCTACTTGCTAGCTTTGTCTCTTTCTCCCTTTACATATTTGCATCAATTTTGTTCTCTTCAACGAACCTATTGAGTTTGGATCTCAACCATCGATTGGTTTGGCTTGTACATTTTTCCATTAACTTTTCTCTCCCCTTGTTGAACTCTCACTGTTTGATTTTTGTCTCCAATCAATCTGACCAAATTTTTCTTGCCCATCACCATTTATTTTGAATCTCTGATGCCATAAATTGACTGTTACGGGTCCAAGTCTGCAATCGAGTTATGGGTCTCTCGTAAGTGGAGGTAGACAGTGTTTGTATGGGGGAAAAGTAGAATTCTTCTTTCGATTTATTTTGAATAATTGTGAGGCTCAAATAGGGGAACCTTAATACCTCTGAGTTAAAGTAGTCAAGATTATGTTGAAAATTTCTAGGTACCATCTTCATTAATGTTTATGACTATTTATACAAGTTATATAACAACCATTGCTATATCAATTGAACCATGACTCAATGGAGGATCATCCTCATAAAACAAAGAAAATAACTAAAAATAGAAATGAAAGTGGAGTCCTTACAACATTTGCTACATCAATAGAACCATGACTCAATCATGGGGGATTGTCCTCCTAAAACAAGGAAAATAGGAATAGAAATGGTGGAAGACTCCTCCTTGTAATACGGAAATGGAAAACAGAACTGCATAAAGAAAAATTCATCCAATGGGTTTCATACGTGATTACTTCTTTCTGCCATGTGTGTAACGTATGTACATTTGTAGTTCACTGACCAAGCTTGTTCCCCTCAACTCAATGGTTCTTGCTTGGTGTAGACGTCCAATCATTACATTCCAGCCTTATCGACTCTCAAGTGTGTGTCTAATGAAATTTTTGGCAACTCTCTGGTGGGTTCATGATGTTGCTTTGATTTTCCTATAGAAATTATGCTTTGTGGTTTTTTTCTGCTCAAATTATGATGTTTTTGTTGGATTTTTCTTTTGTTCCTGCTTAATTTTGGATGGAGAAAAATCAGATGAACAAGGTAGCCATTTTGTTTCTGTCCATTTTCTCTCCCTTGTTTTTTTTTTTTTTTTTTTTTTTTCTTGCTGGTAGTTAGTAAAAGTGATGACCTCGTTCAATCCAACCAATTCTGTAAAGTGTACTTCAGGTTGGGTTTTTCGTTTATTTGGATTGGTTTTACAGTCAAAGTTCAAAATTCAGATTGCTACCAAGTAAATGCTTGAAATTGACCCGATCCAATCCACCCGTGCAATTACCTCTTTTGTGCAAATCCAATTCTCATAATTGAGTGTAATGATTCCATGGTTTCAAAAACTCCATATGCTCCGTTTTATTTGTCTACGTTTGTTTATCGATCCTTCTATGCTTTGATATCTGTGTTCGTTTATTGTTACAGAAAAGTACAGCTTTGGATGTATCTGAGGAAAGTATGAAGGTATGAAGGAAGAAAAAAATGGCACACAATTTAGTTTCTGAACTGTCCGTGGTTTCTTATTGTGAGTTGATGGGAGCGAGAGTGTTCACTGAAATTAATTGATTTGATATTCAGGACTACTCATCCTTCAATTATTGAGATAGCCATTTCTTGTGCTATCTTTCTATTTCTTGTAAACTCTTGTTAATTATATATTATGTGCTCAATTCTTACGTCTTTCTGTTTTCACTGTTTTATTTTTTTATTACAAACAGACAACATTTGATGTCAATGTTCTGGGGACCATTTCTCTCACACGGCTTCTTGCACCTCGTATGTTACAACGGGGACATGGTCATTTTGTTGTTGTAAGTGGAAGCCACTGATACTACTATGCTTTGCCATTGTTTACTTATTTTAGACTCATTGTTGTATCTTAAATTGATATGTCACTTGAATATGCTATTATTTATAACTACAAATGTTTATTGTCAGTCCGATCGTCAGGTTGTTACCTAATACTCGGATAGTTAATTTTATCATGAGTTTACTGTTTATTCTTATCTTCGAACAATAATCTAATTTTACGGTTAGTGATTGTTGCTACATTGTTGTAATTATAGAATTTTTCGTATTTACTATTTGGACCATCGTCATTTTATTTTCCTATGTCTATCTTGTTTCTTCCCTTTTATTTCCTCTCACTTGTAAGTCTAAATTGTTGATTGCCAATTTGTTGTTTCCTTTTGGATTGCTTCAGATGAGCAGTGCTGCGGGAAAGACTCCTGCTCCAGGACAGGCTGTATATTCTGCATCAAAGCATGCTCTGAATGGCTATTTTCATTCTTTACGATCAGAGGTAAAATAAACCTAATTTGTTTGTGGTTATATTTGAGATTACAATAGGAGTGTATTTACCTGTTGCGAATGAAGGACCTATACTTGGCGTTGTTTTCATTTTGGAGTAACTCCTTCGATAGACTAGACTCTACCGAACTAGAAACTAAATTGTGAGTTTTTGAAGAATATCATTTGCGTGTAGGGAGTAGGGAAATGTTTTTCCTTTCCATTCATCTTTCTATTATCTAATGTCATTATTGTTCCCTCAAACTATGGTTTTATTATTTAACAAAAATTTAGTTTATAACTTTTATTATGAACTTATAAATTAAATCCTCAACGTTGATATTAATATCTTTTTTGTTATTTTTTTAAAAAAAATGAGAATTAACCTTTCATTAAGAATAAAATGAAAGAATAAACATGCAATAAAAGACCCACAAAAAAAAAAAAGGAAGATACCAAGGAAAGGGCCTCCCATCTTGTAAAAATAATATCTATCGAGTAGTTACTAAAAAAAAGTAATAATAAATAAGTAAAAAAGAAGAAGAAGAAGAAGAAGAAAACTTCATAACCGAAGCCCAAAATGAAACATGAAATATAGTAAGGAACCACAGGTCACTTGGGTCCCTTTCCAAGCCTCTAAACACTATTGTTCCTCTCACCTTAAAGATCCCACAATAAAGCATACAACTCAACAAGCCACGAGAAATGACCCTTCTCTCCAAAAGGGCGGGTGGAGAAGGAACTCCTCGGTCATCTCATACAGGTCTCTGTGGTGAGCCAACTGGAAATCAAACACCTCCAAAAAAAAAAAAAAAAAAAAAAAAAAAAAAAAAAAAAAAAAAAATTACACACGGAACGCCTGAAGTGGCATCTCCCAAAGGATGTTATTGAAATCTTCCTCTGCCTTCCAACAGAGGATACAACAAAATTAGCCAAGCAACAAAGGCCACTTTCTCGAGTGTTGGTCTAAAGTCTTAATACAACCATGGATAACATGCCAATTGATATTCTTTCTAGAGAGCCAAGAAAGAAAAAATCTCTAATGGGAGAGGGGTCCAATGAGCAACAAGAGCTCCAAATATGCAAATCCTTCCTCCCAATTCTAAAATCAATTTCCCCTATCAAAGATAGGAGAGTAATAACATTTTTCGTTTCCCTATTGGACAAAGGACTACGAAATTTGAACGAAAAAGAGAGGGAGCTCTTAGACCAGTCTAATATCTCTCCCACAAAATAGTATTATGAAGAGGAAAGGTGATAAAAGACAAGAAAACATAGTGCAAAGGGGTCTATTCCCAAGCCACTTTTCAATGACCACCTACCTAGCTCACAAGATGGGCCCCTTTTCCTTCATTTACCCTTCACACAAGAAGTCTCTCATGAGTTTTTATGCTCTTACCGACAAAACAGTGAGAAGTAGTAGATTGGGTGGGATACCACTGACACAATCATGATAAGGGTAAGTCTACCACCTTTTGAGAAAAAAACTTATGTTCCAAGAGGCCAACCTGTTGGACACAAATTCTCTGTGGGAAACACTCTATTCTTTATTAAGACCAATCGAGAAGAGAATACAAGACATTGTGTAGAATACTTTTTGGATTTCTTAGATGAATAACATAGGTAGGGTGGAGGTGTATTTATACTAGGCTACGCAATCTAGACCTAACAAATCTAAATATAAATCTAACAAATCTGAATCTTTTTCCTAAAATATCTAGATCTCTTCCCTTCCTAAAATCTCTACTAAAATAAATATACAATGGGCTCGTACAATTATTGGGCTTGACTCTATTGGGCGGATGATATTTCAACCCAACATGTTTCTAATCATGTCTTCAACCGGATTCCAAAAAGCAACTAAGTTGGGATTACTTCCAAGGGGAAGGGCTTAAATAAGAGGAGGGGAAGGAGCCAATGCTGCACCCCATGAAACTAGCCCCTATCTTTCCAACTTTTCAGGATCACAATTCAACCCTAGAATCTAGCACTTCCCCCTACTAATTTTGAGATCGAACATGACCTCAAAGAAAGCAAGAATATGATTCAGCGTAAGAAAGGATTCCTCTTTCCTTGAGCATAAGAAAATAGTATTGTCTGTGAATTGGAGGTGGGACAAGGACACTTACTCCCCCTACCAATCGTAAAGCCCTCGACCACTTTTCCATTGAAACTCTTAAGGGTCAATTCTACTCCGAACATTCACCACTAGAAGGGAAAGGAAAGGGGATAAAGGGTCGCCCTGTATAAGACCTCTAGAAGTTCTAACTTTGCCCCCTGGTTTCCCACTAATAAGAAATTATTAACTGAATGATCTCACACAACTCTAGATTCACATCCTCTATTAATACCCAAACCCTTTCTTATTCCGAACCAAAATCACTCTTGAAGAGCATGCCCTCATTCTTCCTCATCTTCTCGTCTTGTATGACTTCATTAGCAATCAAGGCCTGGTCTAGGATTTATCTTCCTAATATAAAAGCTCCTAGACTATAGAGATCGTGACAGAAGGATCTTTTTTAGCCTTGTCAGCATAAATTTTTTCTATGATCTTATAGACACGGTGATCAGGCTAATCGGTTTGAAATCTTAAATCTTTAACCTTGTTTTCCTTCTTTTTAGGGATAAGGCAAACATAAGCTTCAACCATAGAGCTGCTCAAGATACCTCGTTCATGAAATTCTTTGAAGACTTGCTCTAGATCCTCCTTTAGTCCTTCCTAGTTATCCTGAAAAAGAGCCATAGAGAAGCCATTCAAGCCATATAATTTACTCAAGAACTCACTTTCTAATTACTTCAAATGTGGAGGGAGAGATCAACTCATCTTCCCCTCCCAGTGATGAGGCACCACTCCACACCATTAACAAACGGCTTTGGAAGCACCTTTGGGTCATAGAGATTAGAGAAGAAGGAGAGGATCTCCTCCTCCACCTCCTTCTCTTCTTGAACAAGTTCGACCCTGTCATTTTCCAAAGCACCAATAGTATTCTTACTTCTTTTGCCACTAGCCATCTTGTGAAAGAATGAAGCATTACCCTCACCTTCCTTGACCCATTCCACCTTTGCCTCTAATTGTAGGTTTCCTTCCTAACTTCCTTAGCGAAATCCGGCTTAAAGGAATTCCTCTCCCCTTTTTGGTCTGTTGCCAAACAACCTCTATTTCCAGATTATCGAACAACCTAATCTTGTTAAAAAAAAAAAAATCTATTTTTTAAGTCTAGTGTCTCCAAATGCTTCTCTACTCCAGTCCTTTGAGGATCCCTTTAAAGCCTTCAACTTTTCCATAAATTTGTTCAAGTGAAGAGAAGAGGACTGTATAATCTCATACTGCATGTGATTTCGAAGGTGCCATTGTTGGGAATAAACTTAAATGAAAAAGGTAGTTTTTAATTTTGTTAATTTTAGTAAGTTTTTTAAATTGAGTCGTAAAAGGAAAAGGCCAAAAGAAAAAAAAATGAAAGAACAATAATCATTTTAGGAAAGGGTGGGTTTATGGGATAGCCATTTTTAGCCTTTAGAAAACCTATAAATTAATTTAAGAGCAAAGAGCAAAAGTGCAAAAGTGCAAAGAACAAAAAGTACAGAGAAATAGAAAAAGGTTTTTCAAAATTCTTTGTCTCCTTGTCTCTTCCCTCTCGACATCTCCTCCACAATTTCATGAGTATCATTTTCACAAACTAGTATTAGAGCGAGCTTTTATTCCTACAAATTGGTATCAAAGCGAGCTTTTATTTCTATAAATTGGTATCAGAGCCGATGGCGAATATGATGGGACAAATGTTGCTACCACGATTAACGAAGACGAACTACGAGAATTTGAGCATCCAAATGAAAGCTCTTCTCGATTCTCAAGACGTATGGGAGGTGGTTGAAGAAGGTTTCGAAGAACCAAAGGATATCACGGGCTATACGGCAATGCAAAACAAGGCGTTAAAGGAATTGCGATCAAAGGATAAGGCAGCATTATACATGTTGTTTTGGGCTGTAGACGAGTCGGGCTTTGAGAAGATTGCAAGGGCAATACTTCAAAAGAAGCGTGGGACACTTTAGAAAAGGTGTTCAAAGGAACCGACCGAGTCAAGCAAGTGCGTCTCCAAACTCTGTGTGGCGAGTTGGAGAGCATGAAGACGAAGGAGTCAGAAAATGTATCTGACTACATTACGCGGTACAGACCGTGGCAAACCAACTAAATCGAAACGGATAAATGTTACCCGAGACGCGGGTTGTGGAGAAGATCTTAAGGTCGTTAACCGACAACTTCGAGAATGTTGTATGTGCGATAGAAGAGTCAAAGGACCTAGCGACGTTCACGGTCGATGAGCTCACCGGTTCTCTCGAGGCACACGAGCAACGTAAGAAGAAGGAGGAGACACTCGATGAAGCGCTTTAGACCAAAGCATCAATAAAAGATGAAAAGGTACTCTACTCTCAAAATATTCAAGGTAGAGGTTAAGGAAGTCGCGGGAATGGTCGAGGCGGTCAAGACAGCAGAAATGAAGAAATCTATAAGGAGAAGAAATAATCGAGCCAAGCAAATTGGCATGGAAGAGGACACAATCAAGGACGCAGTCAAGGATATAATTCCAACATCCAGTGGTAAAAAATATAGCGACTATGCAAATAATTGTAACTCCAACAGATGTTACAATTGTGGCAGAATGGGTCATTATGCAAGAGATTGTCGAGCCGAGGAAAAGGTGGAAGAGAAACCATCAACCTAGCCTTGGATGATGCAACAAACGGAGGCAATCTCTTGATGGCCCAAAATGAAGAGTTGAACACAAAAGAACGCGGCGGCGCGAAAGACAATGGCGATAGTCGTGAGGCAGTGGAAACTGTTGGAAATGAGGTGGTGTGCAACAAATGTGGCAAAATTCTGATAGCGGAGACGAGAAAATCGAAGAAAGATGAACAATCGGATAACAGAGAGTTCGAGCTCGAAGAGAGAGAGCTCCAATGGCCAGAAAGGAAATTTGAGGAAGAAAGAAGAAAGAGGATGAGAATGGAAGAAAATGGAAGGAGAAAAGAAAGAGTTAGAAATGAAGGTTGAAAAGTTAGAAAAGGACGTTGCTGAGCTGAGTGAGAGTTCCTTCTATCTCAAACAGGAGAACGAAGAGAATGGGAAGGTAATCTCTGAACTTGTGAAGAAAGTTGAAGAAGGTGTGGAGAGAGAGAATGACTTGTTAATGGAGATTGATGCTCTTGTGGACGAGCTAGTGAGGGAGGAGAAAGATATAGAGATGCTGACTCAACAGAGAGACTCACTTGACTTGAACCTGAATCGAGTCCAATAGGAGACAGTGAATTTACGACACTCGATTGAGATACTCACTCGTGATAAAGCCGAAATGGAGGTTGAAAATGTCGTTGTGGACTTGCGAAGGGAATTGAGTAAACTGAACGAAGCTATGACGTCTGAGTCGAGCGTGGTTGAGAATGGGAGAAATGAGGAGTTGGAGTCTCAAATGAGCTATTCTCGAGAAGCTCCAAATGAAGTCTCATCGGAGAAGGACAAGCTCAGTTTGCCGCTCGAGGACAAGGAGAGGAAATTGAAGAAACCACGACTGAGTTCGAGAAAACGAAAACGGCGCAGGTGGAATCATTGAATAGAGCATTTAAGTTTACAGGGGAAGTTTTGTTGGGAATAAACTTATGTAAGAGAAAAAGGCCAAGAGAAAAAAATGAAAGGCCAATAATCATTTTAGGAAAGAGTGGGTCATTTTTATCCTCCAGAAAACCTATACATTAATTTGTTTTCCATTGTAAAAAAAGGAGCAAAAAAGCAAAGAGCCAAAAGTGTAGAGAACAAAACGTTAGAGTAATAGAAAAATGTTTTTTAGAATTCTGTCTCCTTGTCTCTCCCCTCTCGACATCTACTTCACAGTTTCGTAAGTGTTATTTTAACAAATTAGTATCAGAGCGAGCTTTTCTTCCTTCCACCATCACCAAGAGGGAGACCGGTAAATCTGGAGGAAAACTCAAGAGAAGGGAATCTACTTGTTGAATCTTTACGAATGAATAGGAAAGGAAACTGAGGTTCCCTTTGAAAAAAAAACTCCCGATGCTTTAAATTTTCCTCTCAATTTGGTGTTGTTAACAGTGGATATGCACACCCAAACCTCAAGATTTTCTAGATTTAGCTTCAATTCTATTATTTTTTTTATTTTTATTTTTTCTTTTCAATTCATTGTGAAGGTCATTAGCAATGAAACAAGCATCAAAGTTTTTTCTTCCAAACATAATGCAGATTGGTACTCGGAAATTGCGTGGAAAGTAATTTTTAAGTCCAAAAGACTTTTGATAATAATCTTATATGTACTTGATAGCTCTGAAGTCCCTCACTATTTTCACCTCTAATGCCTTCTGGATGTGAAAAATATTAGTACCATTGAGGGTAGCATTAATTAATCCCTTCTTTAAAAGATCTTAGAACTCTTTCCTGATTTTATATTTGATGATGTTCCACAATTTTTTTGGAAGAATTCTACGATGTGAGGTTACCCTTTTTCTTCTATTTTTTCCTTTCCTTATATAATCATGTACCTTTTCTTTTTCTTCTATATTGCTACAACGGGAATATCAGCTTTACCATAAAGGAATTAGAGTGACCGTTGTTTGTCCTGGACCAATTGAAACATCAACTGGCTCTGTTGTTGAAGCCATTGGGAAGAAAGGTATATCTGAGGTATGTAAATCTTATTTTATCCTGTATCAAGCGTGTTAGAATTCTTCCCTCTCCCTTCGTTCAAATATGATAAATTTGAAGGTCAATTTGGTTTACTACCATGGGTTGATCTAATGGTCAATAAGCGCTAAAACAAATAAAGTGCACAGAGGGAATGAGTTGGAGTAATGGTGGCCACCCACCTAGCATTTAATTTCCTACGAGTTCTTAGACAACCAAATCTAGTAGGATTAGACAATTGTCCCGTGAGAATAATCAAGGTGTCAGTAAGTTGGCCCATATTGAGTATTCTTGATTCTACTTTCTTGCAGAAACGACTTTCATCAGAAAGATGTGCTGAGTTGACAATTATTGCTGCTAGCCATAATCTAAAAGAAGTTTGGATATCATCTCAGGTATCCATTTGTTAAATGATTCACAAACGTATCAGTAAGCATTTATCCTCGTTGATTATATAGCTTCGAAGTAGACTTGTTCTTTTAATGTTCTTCTTTGAAGCTACTAAGGTGTTAGAACTACTTTATGAAACCCATATCATCCTTTTAATGCCATTGGAAAAAAAATAGTCACGTGCATGAAGTCTGAAAACCTTGTCTTGCAGCTGATGCTCATTAAAAAAGAATGGTAGCTTATCATTGCATTGATATTGATGACTAATGAACCTTGGTTAAACATATACCAAGGTAAATGATGCCAAACTGGGGGATCTTGTAAATGTGTACTTTTACCTTCATCATCAAATTCTTTGAAATTTTAGCTCTTTTCCTCTTTATCTACAATGATGCACCCACAAATCTTGATCTTAACCATCTGTGTTGCCATACGACATGTTCCATAAGTCGAGGAAATTAATATGTTTCGATGCACTTTCAAAATTCACTTAATGTAAAATCTCAAACTGATATACTGGACAAAAAAAGTATGTGACTTATTATTTTTTTAGATAGAAGTTCTATCTTCTCATTTTTATTTTTGTGGGAATTTAACATTTGATTTGTTGCTTAACTCTTGTAGCCCGTCCTTGCCGTTATGTATTTGGTTCAATACATGCCAACAATCGGCTACTGGCTCATGGACAAGGTATACTCAGGTTTCAAGTTCATAACAATTTTGGTATCTCATAATTTTGTGGCCACGTAATCTTTGTCAGTGTGTATTAGTTTTGATTTGGCATTGGATCTTTCATAAATTGTATGCCTTAAAACATTAAGTTACTCTCATAAATTGAATAATCTCGACTCTTATTCTCATTGTGTGTATATGTAAAATTTGCTTGTAGATTGGTGGGAATCGTGTTGAAGCAGCTGCTAGGAAGGGCAACACGTACTCGCTCAGTTTGTTATTTGGAAAAAACAAGTCATCTTAAGTATGATTCAACTCATCTGACTTATAATTCAATCCATCCAACTTCTACCTTGTTTTTTTTTTTTAAAGATATTTAAAAATAAAAGTTTATATAAACAAATAATATTTATATTAGATTCTTACCTTTAACAATTTTATTATACTAATTAAATTTTAAATAATTAGTTATGGTTAATTAGTTTATTTTTTATCTAGACAAATTATTAAAATAGTTTTAACCAATTAAATTTAAATATATATATATATATATATATATATGTCTTAAATTTTAGGTTGAGTTATTTAGCCATCAATAACAATTATTCTAAATAAATGAAGTGAATTAATGAAGTTTTATACACTTTTAAACTTTATAATATAATAACCAAATTAAATAATAAATTATATATGTTAATGTTTTAACGCTACTCTAAATAACCTAAAAAGATACCATTTTTTAAAATTTAATGTTTGCAAATTATTGGTTGGTGTAAGTAAGCCCAATTCTTCTAATATTTGCGGCCCAACAACATAAGAACAATTACGGCCCAACAACATAAGAACAATTACGGCCCATCCCATCCTTTTTCAGAAAACCCTAAAAAAGAAAAACACGCCTCATTTGCTCCATCTTTTCCCCAAACCCTAACAAAGCTTACTAGTTCCCACCCGCTCCCTCTCTTGTTTATTCGTTTCTCTCATTTCCTCAGTTGCCAGCGCCGTTCGCATCACATTCTTCTTCTCACGGTTCCTACAAATGGTAATTCTTCTATTACCGCAATTCTCTGCCCTGCATTTTAATGGCGCTTTTTTTTTTTTTTTATCACTCTTGAAGTTTCTGTTGAATCCACTTGCTCTGCTGCTTTGTTGTTGCTGATTTATGTTGGGCGTCGTCGTGGCCGAGTTTTGGTTCTACACGATTAACAACTTGTTTTACTCATTCATGCTAGTGATCTCTAAATGTTTGGCAATCTGCTGAGTTTGTTTTTAGAATACTTTTCGGATGTTAAAGATCTCCAACAGTTGTGGTGAGTTTTTAGTTGGATTTTAGTCTTCAACTTGTTGAATAATGAACTGAGATTCGAGTGCTGGTAAGAATGTGGATGAGATTGCTCGATTCAAGTTTTCTTTGACCTTGTTATTTTGTATACTATCTCTTGGTGCGAATTGTTAAATCTCTTTGCTTCCTTTTTACGTTTCTAATTGAACCAATTGGGAAAGCCTTTTGTGATACATTACTGAATCATTTATTCCGAGTATTTCTATTCCATGCAATCTATGGTATGTTTGTTATAATAGTATAGTAGTTGATCGAATACTATGTTTGGAGATAAAAGAGTTGACTTTGGGTATGTATGTGTGGATGGACAGCCGAAGCAAATCCATGAGATAAAGGACTTTCTTCTGACTGCAAGAAGGAAGGATGCGCGGTCAGTTAAAATCAAGAGGAGCAAGGATGTAGTGAAGTTTAAGGTTCGGTGCTCAAAGTACCTTTACACGCTCTGCGTCTTTGACTCCGAGAAGGCTGATAAATTGAAGCAGTCTCTTCCACCAGGTATTTTTTTTAAGCTCTTTTCAAATATGTTATGTTGTTGAAGCCTTTTATTTAATTTTATACATACTTTTGGCTTAAACTGTTGTAGGTTTGAGTGTGCAAGATCTCTGAACAAAGTAGTGTGTGCTTGTTGTGGGTGATCTTTCTTTGCAAAAAATCGATCAGGAGGCTGAAGAGAAAAACGTTTGCCAGTATTCCGTCTATTACTTATTTATTTTCAATCATTGAACGAATGTCTTGTTGATTTTTATAGGGACTGGCTGGTGTTCTTGGTATAAATAGGACTTAACAGTGTTTCTTTAATTCCATCAACCTTTTCAAAATTTTCAACCATCTGAGATTGATACATCGTTGATTCCATTCCAAACTTCAAATATCAATAGCCCTCTTTCTTTCTTTCAATTATCAAAATTTTCAACCAGGGGGATCTACATGGTTGAGGGCTTTTTATTTATTATTTTTTTTGGACAATACTAAATTGTCACAACCCAACCCAATCCTCTGTTATTCTGTTGAGTTGCTAAAGAGAATTAAATTTTAGCTTCTTTTTTATTTATTTACGGTCATAATTATTCATTCAATGCCATTTTATAAAATATACTAAAAAATCATAAACAAATACTAAAAAAAATGTTTTCAACTTTACGATATAACTAAAATAAAACAAATTTTCTACCAATTTTGTTTTGTGTCCACTGTTTTTGGATTATTGTTTTGTGTTCACTGTTTTTGGATTATTTTTTTAGGTGTCAGTTTTATTGATCCAGTATTGAATCACCTGCCTGTACTAAATGTTGATCCTTTTTAGAACTTCAAAACATTTAAACAATTTTAGATAAAATTGAATATTTAAAATTACTTATCTTCTACAAAGTTTGATTAGAAAAAAATCATAATAAACATCTTTAAATTAAGTCATAGTCTTACTCATTTTATGGTTCTTTTATTAACCTCGAAACTACTAAAATGAAAACCAATGCATACTACTATCCTTTTTTGACTTCTATGATCATTCAAGCATTCACCGTCATGGAGTAATTAAGGTAGTACGTGACTTGAGTATTTTAAGATATATTCGGTAATGTCATTATTGGGGTTAGTAATGCAATTACATGTAATATGATTGGGAACATATCTTTTAAAACCGTAATATTACCTTATGCTCTTTCCAGTTCCAGGCAGGGGTGGATACATGGTATTTCTCCACACATGGCCCATGTATGAGCGTATGGGCCCACCGTGCAGGCTCGTATACGTACCCCTTGGATCTGGCTTGGTCTGGCACAATGCATTACATGCATTGGTCGTAGAAAAGGAAAGATTTGCATGATATCGTAATGAACATAAATATCAAAGGTACATGTTTATACTAACATAACATAAACGAGGAAGTATCCTGATGCACATGACATACATACAAGCATGATATCCCATGATTTTCATTCATAACATAACATTAATCTCATTTCCTTTCTCCTTTCATCCATGACATATTTCATTTATGCATCGAGCATACATGACAATCATATCACATAACTTTACGCGCAATACATAATATGACGTACATAGTAATTCATTTCATTTGCAACATGGCGTAATGAATACAAATAACATGATGCATGTAGCCACATAGCACACACCATCATACATCATTCAACTATATAACTCAAACATCATTCAACTATATAACTCAAACAATAACACTTAAGTTAATAGTACCAATTTACCCATAATAAAAATTTGATTTTGTCCTTCATTGAACATTAGAGAAAACATTAGAGTTTTGCATGTCGTTATAATATTATTTATTTGTGTGTTTTTCTTTTTCCTTTTAATTTCGTTCACAATCTTCCCATTCTTTCTCTCGGTGGCAATTTCTTCAAGTATAACTTGCCTAAATAACATACTATCAAGCAACATCTCTCTTCAGGGTACATTTGCAACATCACTCTGTAACTTTACCCGGGCAACAACTTTCAACGAAGACAATAATAGCTTCTATAAATGTTCAAGATGAAAGCGAAAATGGTACATTGTACTACGAACAGACGCATGCAAATTCCTTATAAATGGCATATTCTATGAAATTTCTGTTATTTTCATAGTGTTTCTTCTTTTCGAAATCAATACCAGAGATTGAAGCCCCGTGAAGAACATTGAGGATATATTGATGACATTTTTCATATTTTAGCTACCTTTCAAGTGCATGAGAAACCATAACGTTCCCATTTTTATTGGGAAGAAAAAAACAAAACGCTGATTAAAGTGATGAATTACTTTATGTTTGCTTTTCTTTTGTTACATGTGAAGAGTTTAACCTTTTTGAAAGAACAGATAAAATGATGTTTGGTTATCAAACAAACAAACAGAGAAGGAATACCTTAATAACATTTTTGTTTGAACAGATGGGGCTAAAAAAAAAAAAGAGGGCTAACGATGATTGAAGTTTGGAAAGGAATCAATACAATCTCAGATGGTTGAAAATTTTGAAAAGGTTGATAGACTTAAAGAAACACTGTTAAGTCCTATTTATACCAAGAACACCAGCCAGTCCCTATAAAAATCAACAAGACATTCGTTCAATGATTGAAAATAAATAAGTAATAGACGGCATACTGGCAAACGTTTTTCTCTTCAGCCTCCTGATCGATTTTTTGCAAAGAAAGATCACCCACAACAAGCACACACTACTTTGTTCAGAGATCTTGCACACTCAAACCTACAGCAGTTTAAGCCAAAAGTATGTATAAAATTAAATAAAAGGCTTCAACAACATAACATATTTGAAAAGAGCTTAAAAAAAATACCTGGTGGAAGAGACTGCTTCAATTTATCAGCCTTCTCGGAGTCAAATACGCAGAGCGTGTAAAGGTACTTTGAGCACCGAACCTTAAACTTCACTACATCCTTGCTCCTCTTGATTTTAACTGACCGCGCATCCTTCCTTCTTGCAGTCAGAAGAAAGTCCTTTATCTCATGGATTTGCTTCGGCTGTCCATCCATACATACATACCCAAAATCAACTCTTTTATCTCCAAACATACAAATCCAACTCAGTTCAAGTATTCAATCAACTACTACACTATTATATAACAAACATACCATAGATGGCATGGAATAGAACTACCCGGACTAAATGATTCAGTAATGTATCACAAAAGGCTTTCCCAATTGGTTCAAAAAAAAAACTTAAAAAGGAAGCAAAGAGATTTAACGATTCGCACCAAGAGATAGTATTCAAAATAACAAGGTCAAAGAAAACTTGAATCGAGCAATCTCATCCACATTCTTACCAGCACTCGAATCTCAGTTCATTATTCAACAAGTTGAAGACTAAAATCCAACTAAAAACTCACCACAACTGTTGGAGATCTTTAACATCCGAAAAGTATTCTAAAAACAAACTCAGCAGATTGCCAAACATTTAGAGATCACTAGCATGAATGAGTAAAACAAGTTGTTAATCGTGTAGAACCAAAACTCGGCCATGACGACGCCCAACATAAATCAGCAACAACAAAGCAGCAGAGCAAGTGGATTCAACAGAAACTTCAAGAGTGATAAAAAAAAAAAGCGCCATTAAAATGCAGGGCAGAGAATTGCGGTAATAGAAGAATTACCATTTGTAGGAGCCGTGAGAAGAAGAAGAATTGTGATGCGAACGGCGCTGGCACCTGAGGATACGAGAGAAACGAATAAACAAGAGAGGGGACAGGGAGAGGGAGAGGGTGGTAACTGGTAAGCCTTTTTAGGGTTTTCTGGAAAATGATCGGATGGGCCGTAAATCTTCTTATGCTCGTTGGGCCCCAAATATTAAAAGAATTGGGCTTACGTAGATCAACCAATAAATTTGCTAAACATTAAATTTTAAGAAATGGTATATTTTTAGGTTATTTAGAGTAGCGTATTGAGTTCGGTTGGTTGAGTCGTGTTTGGACATTTTTCTTTCGAAACAATTCATTCATTTAGTTGTAGTTTTTCTAATCTAGACAACCCTTATTAAATAATGAACTCGATCCAATCTGACCATAAAATTTTTGGATTAGATTACTATGGGTTGTTTGGGTTACCTATTCAATTAGTGAATAGTTGAAATACCAAACTCATAATTGGTGAATTTGTAGGTCATATTCCTATTAAATGCCCGTCAATGAAACCCTCTAATGAGTTTATTGGAATTGTCTTTGTATCAATGACAATAACCATGAGTTATGACCCTGAATCGATCAAATTGTTTGGGTTTCAAGTAAAATTAAAATAATCTACTAAATGAACTCTGTTGCCCATGAAATTTTAATGCTAACTTATTATGGAATGTCAAGGTTGTATATAAAATTTGTGGTCTTTTAGATAAGGTTAAGTTAGCTAAACCAAGTAACAACGGAAAATGTTCATAATGCCCCTAGGGTAACCTACCTTTGGTTCATTTTCCAAATGACCTCCAAATATTAGAAAACATTATGAGATGCTTATTTAGTGATTTGTAAGGATTATTTTAAGTTTGAAAATCATTGGATCAAGTTTGGGGCTTGAACCAAGCTTAGGATGCGAAAATGACTAAAATGCTCCTATGACGGTTACCTTCGATTTGAGACCTAAAAGACCTCTAAATACCATGAAACTTTGTAATAGGTTAAGTTTTATGATGAACCTCTAAATACCATGAAACTTTGTAATAGGTCTTATTTTATGATGATTTATGACTTTGTAAAGTTTGAAATTTATTGGAACCCGTTTAGAGGCTAAACGAAGAATTAGGGTTTAAAATGATCAAAATGCCTCTAGGACTATTTGAGTTGTTTAAATGTATAACCATCCTCCAAATGACTTACTACTTTTGATAAGACTATTTCTAAGAACATAAAGATATATTCAGGATTTTAAGTAGTTGAGAGCCAATTTGGAACCTAAACCCAATTAAAGTCTAAGGAAAGCTTAAACGAAAATGCCTCAATTAACTCTTGCCCAAAATCTAAAATCCTTTTCAAATTTTCTAAATAACACATTATCATTTTAAATGATTCATGCATGTTATGGTAATGGATTCATAAGTTATGTATAGCTCAAGTATGTATGCCTTGAGTGAGAATATTTGCTCAGACCACCAAAGTTAAATGATATTAAAGTTCTTTATTTATAATCATTTAGAGAATCAAATAAATTATAATAATAGAGAAAGAACCATAAATAAAAGATCAATAAATAGAAAGAGAAATAGATAAACGCAAGATATTTGTCTATAATAAAATGTCAAATATCATACCTATTTTATTATAGGCATATTTGCCTATGATAAAAAATCAAACATGATATATATGGTAAAGTATAATTCATAACAGAACAAAATATCCTTAACACCCCCTCTTCATCAAGCTGAGCATCAAATTTGAACTAACATAAAGCTTGAATCTGAAAAATTCAAAAAGAGGTCGAGAAACACTTTTTGTGAAGATGTCAGCAACCTGATTTGGAGGAGACGTTTGGTTGGGCAACATAGTATTTTCTTGGTCATCGAAAACTGTATAGGCAATGCTGCCTTGCCTCCGACGAGAATATGCCTAACTCACAAAGTAGGAGGGGAAACCCAGGGGAAGAAGGAGAGTAGAGAGAGGGCCATGGGAAGGATTAGAGAAAAGAGAACCATCAGCAATTAGGTGTTGAGAAACAACCATAGAAACGCAAGGTAGAGGCATTAGAATTAGGGCGATGACTTTATTATGAGAAAAGGGCAAGAGAGAGAGGGTTAGATGGTGGCTATAACGTGGTGACAGTCAAAACAGGAGAGGAAGAAGATGACAGAAACTAAGAATGCGGACTCTCGGATGTATTTTAGACGAAGAAGGAAAGAGGGGTGGAGACGGAGGGAGGTTTACGCCTTGTGGATTAGTTTGCTATCGAGCAAATGAGCACAAGTAAGAATATCTCGAGCATATTTTAACTGACTAATAAAGAGACCATCAAGAGTGAGTGAAAAGCAACATTGATAGATCCAAAGATAGCGATTTTGTTCACAGCACCACCATGCAAGGAGTGGAGGCCGGCGACAGAGCAGTAGGTGTAGCCGGAAGAGTAACCATAGTGGGCAAAGGAGCCGATTTTGACGAGGAGGCCAGCAGCGACTTGGTTGGTGAAGAGGTTAGCTCGACGAAAATGAAAGAGGCTTGTCGAGATTCCGTATATTTTTTATGAGAATCCTAAGGTTAGGGTTTCAGTGAAGGATGAAGGGTCGATTGGGAAGAAAATGAAAGAGGCTATGTTGGCTAAGGGGAAACCGATTGTGTTGGAGAAGGTGAGGTTGTATGTACAAAGTATGGCAGAGGGTGGGCTGTGAAGGATGATTTCGAGGCCAAAAAGGTGGAGCCGAGGAGCCAAAGAGTAATAAATCAGCTCCGCCTGCGACAGTCAAGGCGACTGCCCCTGCGGCTTCACAGTCAGCAATAGTGGTGGAGAAGAGGATGATAAAAGGATTTAAAAGTCATTGAGAAGAAAAGATCAGGTTGCTAAACCGAAAGAGCTTTGATATCATGAGAATATTTGTTAAAACCATCACATCTAAATGATATGAAAGTTCTCTATTTATAATCATTTAGTGTGATGTCCCACATTGGTTGGGGAGGAGAACAAACCACCATTTATAAGGGTGTAGAAACCTTCCCCTAGCAGGCTCGTTTTAAAGCCTTGAGGGGAAGCCCGAAAGAGAAAGCCCAAAGAGGACAATATATGCTATCGGTGGATCTGGGTCGTTACAAATGCTATCAGACTAGTCAGGTTATAGGTCCTGCAAACATTTAGGATAGAGAGTCGTATCCTCTGTGACCTTGCTCGTCAAACACATGTCGCTCACGACCAGACGTTCTCACGTGATGGAAACATAGAGACAAAAGTTAAGCTAGTATTTATAGAGTATACCATGACCTACTATGGCATTATAATCGCACATTACCAAGGAGATGTGCTACAAATCAATTGTAACCATATTCCTTGTAGATAATGGCACCACAGAGACGCGAACCATATGTAGGGTACCAAAGAGACGCAAACCATATGTAGGGCCCGAACCCAGAAGGGGAAGAAGAGAGGAAGTTAAGGACACCTCGGTTCCAACACCTGAAGTGTCTGTTGTGGTAGATAATGGCACCAAAGAGACGCAAACTATATGTAGGGCCCGAACCCAGAAGGGGAAGAAGAGAGGAAATTCAGGACACCTCGGTTCCAATACCTGAAGTGGAACAACCTGACTTTCAAGAGGAGGTTGGGGATACGCCCCACTAGCGAGGGGACCGTACCACACCCATCAAGAACAAAAAGACGCCTAAGGAAGGCCAAGGCCCGAAGGCTGCTGAATACACCCTCTACTACTCCCTTCTCAGAGGAGGTCCCATCGGTTCCAACCACTTGTACAACAGTCCCACTAAACCAGGTGTTAGTCATGGCCACAGCAGAGATGTTTTAGACGTTCATGATGACCTTGATGGAAAATTAGGCTCTGACGAACCAAATAATACAAACAATGATGGCTAATCAGTCAGTAGAGCAAGGGGTCAAAGATTCAGGGACTATGATTGTGGAGTCCTGCTACCTAAGAAATTTCCAAAGGCATAAACCGCCTTCGTTTGACGGAGGCAAGGTGGATCCCATTGCCTCTGAGAATTGGCTAGAGGCCATAGAAATGGCCTTCCATTTTATGAACTGCCCGCTAAAGTATCAAGTCTATTGTGGGACGTATATGCTGAAAGGAGAGGCGCACTTCTGGTGGAAAGGTGCTCAGAAGACCATTATGCCACAATGAGAGTTTATTACCTGGTGTCAGTTTAAATATGCTTATCTCTGCAAATATTACTCAATCACTGCAAGAGTGAAAATGCAAGCATCATTCCTCGAACTAAAATAGGGAGACAGGTTAGTGGAGGAATATGACTTAGAGTTCAATAGGTTGGCAAGGTTTTCTCCAGCCTATGTTAGTTCTGATGAGTTGAAGGCCGAACAATTTATTGTTGGCCTGAGGGAGGAACTGAAGGGGAATGTGGCATCCCAATCATCATTCATCTATGCTAAAGTCCTTCAAGTGGCGACCCTGCTCGACGCACCCGCATCGACAAGCTACAGTTGGGAACAACACAATCATCCAACATTGCAGCCCAAGGAAAGGGGACAGACCGTAGCCACCCCAAAACTGGTAGACCGCCCTGTGGCCACACTGATAAACGAAGAAGAGCCCCGATACAAAACATGACCCTTTGTCCTAAGTGTCGGCGTCCTCACATGGGGGAATGCAGGGCAAGAACAGACGCCTGCTACAGATGCGACCAGGTAAGGTACTTTGCTGTGGATTGCCCTCAGAGGAATGATCAGTGTATCAACCGGCCTGCAGTACAGCATCAGAGGGGTCATGGTGCTCAACATCAGCAGGGACGAGTTGTAGCCCATGCAACACATCTTATACGTTCCACCCTGGAAGTACAAAGATGTATCAGGATTTGAAAAGATACTATTGGTGATCCGGAATGAAGAGGGACATAGAGGATTTCGTAAGCCGTTGCTTGACCTGCCAGCAGGTGAAGGCCTCGAGGTAGCGCCCAGCAGGACTGCTACAGCCTCTAAATGTTCCTCAATGGAAATGGAAAGCAGTATGTATGGATTTCGTCTCGGGTTTGCCAAAGACAAAGCAGGGTTTCAACGTCATTTGGGTAGTTGTAGACAAACTGACCAAGACGTCCCACTTCATTTCAGGAAAGTCTACATATTGAGTGGATTGGTGGGCTCAGTTATATATCAAGGAGATAGTACGCCTGCGCAGGGTACCAGTGTCTATAGTATCAGACTAGAACACGAGGTTCACCTCTCAGTTTTGGAAAAGTCTCTAGAAAGCACTAGGAACTCATTTGAGGTTCAGTACAGCGTTCCATCTTCAAACGGACGGACAGACCGAAAGGTTGAACCAAATCTTAGAGGATATGTTGCGAGCCTGTTCCTTAGATTTCTTTGGGTGCTAGGACAAACATCTGCCTTTGATGGAGTTAACGTACAATAATAGTTATCAAGCGACCATCCAGATGGCCCCCTTTGAGGCATTGTATGGGCGTAAGTGTCAAAACTAGTGTTTTGGGAAGTGGTAGGCACGCAGAAACTATTGGGACCAGAGTTGGTTCAAGTTACCAACGTTGCGGTGCAAAAAATCAAGCAAAGAATACTCACCGCACAGACCCGACAGAAAAGCTATGCTGATTTGCATAGAAGGGACCTAGAATTTGAGGTGGGTGACCACGTGTTCCTGAAGGTAGCCCCTATGAGGGGGGTGTTGAGGTTCAGAAAGAAGAAAAATTAAGCCCAAGGTTCATAGGCCCCGTCGAGATTCTAGAAAGAGTTGGGGCTGTGGCTTACAGAATTGCCCTGCCATCGAACCTTGCCACCATGCACAATGTGTTCCATGTATCCATGCTGCGAAAGTACACACCAGACCCTACTCATGTAATCGAGCATGAGATGCTTCCTCTTCGGAAAGATCTGTCTTACGAGGAAAAGTCTAGTAGAATTTTAGCTCGAAACATTAGGCAATTGTGCAACAAAGATATTCCCTTGGTAAAGGTCTCATGGGTAACCACCATGAGGAAGAGGCAACTTGGGAACGAGAAGAGGACGTGAGGAGAGCTTATCCCGAACTCTTCCAAGAGATACCCAATTTCGGGGACGAAATTTCCTAAGGAGGGGAGAGTTTGTAATGAAAAAAATAAAATAAAAGAAGTTGAGTCAACAATGGGGCAAATTTTTGCCCCTCTAGCCATAATAGGGGGTTCAAGGAAAACCCCATCAATCCTCCGGCAAAAGAAAGAGAAAGTTAGAGAGAAAATCGAGAGGAAACAGAAAAGAGTCGCCTTGAAGTTCATCGGACCACTGTCGGAATCCACCTTCAGACGAGACCTGTATAAGGACTGATAGGCTAGCGAGGCCAACACTCCATCAAGATCCAAGATCAATTTATGAGGAACAACTCTACACCCGATATGCAAAGAAGTTTGGCCAAAATCTCAACCCAAAGGCGAAGATCCGAGAATCGTCCGAGAACGGTAAGCAAACTTCCGACGCTCTTAACTCGTCTTGTAGTTAAGCAAAAAAAAATTATGAAAAAAATACGAGGACGTAGCCCGTAACACGATCTAGAACCTTGCTGAATAAATCATATCGATTCGAACTCTGAATCAAAAGATATGAAAATCGGAAATGGGACTTTGTGTCACGGATTGTAAAGGACAGAGGAGAAAAAAAAAGGAAGTCGGCCGGCAAGCGGCGGAGGGCGACGCGACAGGCGTCGGACACGTGTCGACCATCGGCTGGAGCAACGCAGCTCTAGTGAGACGATGACATGTGTCGCCTGCAAAGCCCGAGCAGAACCTCAAACTCGAGCCGAGCCAAACCAGACTGGCTGACTCGCGACTGCGCAGAAGATGCTGCGCGTGCGGCCTGCGACTAGCGCACTTCCTCACGCATGGTTGGCGCACTGCTGGCGCGTGAGCGAGCATGAAACAGCCGTTTTGGCTCGTTTTCCCTCTATTTGCCCGATTGTTGTCCTGATTCTAGTTCTACTACTGTTTTTATGTGAATAGGGACCTAATTTAAGGAAATCAATATTTTTGGACACCTCACGGGCATAGAAACGCTAGCGAAAAGGCACCCGTCAACCAGGTAAGTCACCACCCGGTATTTAGGAAGAAATACTTATAGGATTCGCTTGGATTGCATGCATGCTAGTACCTTTGCCTTAGATTAGCTCTACTTGAATGAGATTAGTCAGATTGATTATTACGAGTGTATTGGGTGAATTATCTGAGTGTTGCTTGTATGCTTTAAGCTTTCGCTGTACGTATGCATGCATTTAACTTATGTTGAAATTGTGTATTCTGCATTCTGGGTGCTTGATGGATGAGTTTGTCCCATTGAGCGCGAACTTCGTGTTATGGGTGCTTGATGGAGGCCATCATCCCGTTGAGCCGGCGTGCCTAGTTTGCATGAATTATATATTATGATGTTAGAAGACGCTTTCATGCACATTATGTTATTTGCTAAGGCTCATTTCTATGATAAGCCTAGGGAATTGTTGTTAGGAGCGATAAGTCGCTCTAGCTAGACTTAACCTTCCCCTAGGAACTTAGCGGATTACCACGATAACAAGGTACCTCAGGATTGTTCATAAATTGCTAGTGTGAGAACGGTATCTATAGCTTCGTGGGAGGACCAAGGGTTCCTGACCAGTCCTTACTGCTCTTAGCCATTTCGCATGGGAAATGTGTCCCCACGTCATACAGCCCATTAGCTGCATGGTAACAGGTTGGGTCTCGCCCCCCATAGGGGGACTATATGGGCTTTGGGGTATTCAACACACCCCTATGCTAGATACCATGTAGTCTCAGATAGCCATGTAAAGGTAGCGTCTCATAGAGAGATACTGACCATATCATCTTGGCTTAAGGAACCTCTAGGTGTCTAATGAAAGGACGACGAATCAGCGAAACCCAAGGGGTAAGCCCCAAGGGACTAAGATTAGAACTAGATGTCCTAGAACCGAATTAGGAGACCGTGGGAACCTGTTAAGTTAGGATGCAAAGAGAGCCTACAAGTAGGTGGCTTACTGAGTACAATTTTTTTAAACTCATCCTTGCTATGTTTTCCTTTTTCAGGAGCGTGAGGCATCGGTCAAGGGCGAGCGTGATGGAGACGGGGATTGTCACAGAGGAATGGGTTGTCCTAGGGGGTCAATCCAGTCTTTATTTTGTATTTGTATTCTTTCAAAATTTATTTCCAAACTGTTAAGTGTTCTGTTTGTTTGTCGTTCAAAAACTTTATTGAAATTAAAGGATTTTCTCTATTTCATATTTAATTCACTTTGTGCATTCGTGTTTGTCATTAGTCATGGTCCGTAGTAAAATATTAGGTCGTGACATTTAGGGAATCAAATAAATTACAAATGATATGGAAAGAGGAATTGAGCGTAGATATTTAGACTATGCCGCTTGGAACGCATGAAACCTTGGGCATAGGTTTTCACACGGTGTCACAGGAATGCATGAAGCTCAAGATGCGAGTTCAGAATACGTCACTTGGAACGAATGAAGCCTTAGATGTAGGTTAAGACTGTGTCACTTGAAACGTATGAAGCTTTAACACATAGGTTGTAAGGTCATGTCTTGTACCGTAAATCTTAGGAGGAGTGTTTAGAGATCAAACCAAGAACATAGAAAATAATCAAGAATGAGACATTGATCAAGAACTAGAACATGAATCAAGATCCAAGTTCTGAAGGCAAGAACCCAGAACCTTACTAGTAAGGCCCTTAAATCAAAACCAAGGTTGAGACCTTAGAATCCAATGACCAAGGAGTTTTTTTTTTTTTTTTTTTTTTTTTTTTTTTTTTTTTTTTTTTTTTTTTTTTTTTTTTTTTAGAGATTTCGATCCCTATATATATAATACAATGTGGGCAAGAGTTTGAGATGAGAAATGAACTTCGAGAGTGACTAAACGATGAGTGTTGAGCTTTAAATTTTTGGGTATTTCATTCTCAAGTTTCTTCCAAATTTAAGACTTATAGTCCATCATTTGATCCCAAACAAGCTCCTACACGTTCTAAATTGAATTACCTACAAATTTCATGAAAGAATCGAGAACCTAGAGTAACTAAATTCGGCCTATTCCCTCAATCTCACCCGCCATTAACGCTAAGGAGGAATGCTTGAAAATTCAATCCATACTTGCACACGAATTTATCTAGTCCCACCTAATCCATACATGTAAATGGAGTATCTTATACAATGAGTTTGTATAAGACTAGACCAAGAAATATTTGAAATATTCAAATTAATATTTAATATATTAAATAATTAAATAAATAGAGAAAATATATTTAATTTAAGGAGTCCAAATTAATATTTAATATATTAGATAGGTTAAATAAAATAGAAAAATAGTATGTAATAATTTTATAAACATGAAGATTCCATGGTCCAGATGGTTAGAACATTAGACCGAGTTGAAATCTGGGTAGGACCTAAATCCTAATTATTTAAAAGAATCATTTAGATTTTTTATTTTTTGAAATGAAATGTTAAACGGGGTTGAAATAATGTCTTGATACGATGATGACGTGGGCCCCACTAACCTGACAAATTATAATTTTGCAATCAAGTCCTTACTTTTATAGCGTAATTAAATTCGGCCGCCTATTTTATGTTAATTTCATTCCGTTATCACTACATAGTTCTGCTCGAGAGGCAATCCAGTTATCGTTTTCTTCTCTTTATTTCTCCGTTTACTTTCCTTTTGGCCTCTCTCGGTCATCTTCTACCGACGAACTCAAGCGACTTTTACAGACTCATTAAGCTTTCTCCGATCCTCACTCGTCTTGGTTTATGAGGTTTCATCTCTTCCTTCTCACCTGTCTTTTCATCTTTCTCTCGTTAGGTCTGGCTTATGATTTCGATTCGGAGATTTGGTTCCACGGATCTGTTCGCTTTTTTCTTTTGGTCACTTGCGATTTCAGATTCGGGCTTTTTCATGCTCATGAATCTATCTTCTGGTTTGGGTAACCTATCACCTTTTATTATTATTTTTTTTTTTGATTTTCTTGGTCATAGTGGATCCGCTTTCTAGGTTTATTCGGAAAAAGATTTGATAACTTACTTAGGGTTTAATCTTGAAAGAACAAGTTCTATTTTTTCTTTTGATAAGAAAAGGCACATGATTTTTTTTAAGCCAATGCCGTTCCCTTTTAACTTCTTAGTGCGACTTTCAATTTGTAAGTTAGATAAACGCCCCCTTGGTGATAGCGACATATTTAAAAATTTTTTAACGCACGTCAGAGTAGCAGATATTTCCCCCAGTTACGCTTTTTAATTTATGTGAAGGAGGAAGCGCCTTTTTCGTCTCGCCAGTTACCCCCTCCCCCTTACAAAATGCACGCTATTTTTTATTCACTTTTGCTATGTACTTTGTTGTCTGACTCGTTTTTATCTTGTGTGGATCTTGTTTTCTTGTATATGCAGCTCGAAGGAGAAACCCACTCTTGGGTAAGCCTTTTTCTACTCTCATCATCTTCCATGTTGTGTGTTCTTTGTGTGGAGTTAGTTTCTGGTTAATTTTTTAAAACGTGATTGATGTGTTATAGCTGATTATTACGTTCTGACACAAGTGTTGATCATTCTCTCTTTGTAGTATTTGAGTGTGTCTCAATTATTCCGGATGAATGGAGTTTTAGGGTTACTTGTGATACGATAAGTGTGAGGTCTTGTATTGTAGTAAGGAGCGGGTCAGTTAATAATGTCTGCACCTGCAGTCATTCAGAATGATAAGAAGATAGGTTATATATGAGTGTTCCCTTTCCTCTCAACTGAATGAGATCCCTAAGAAAAAAAAAAAAAAAAAGAAAAAAAAAAGGATTCTTATACCTTGATGGTTACCTTACAGTATTTTCCATTATTTATTCTGTTTTTTACGTGGTCGGGTGGAAATGTAAATGAATGTATTTTCCATTTAATCAATGCTTTGCATTGTATCGTCTCATTCTTGATCAGTAAGACATTGTTTACTTTTACTGCTATTTGACCAAAATTGGTGTTGGGTTTTCTCCCTTTCTCTGGTAGTTACTATTTTAGAGTAGCAAATTATGTTTCTTATTCTGAAAGAATGGATAATAATTTTACATTTTTTCTATGTCTGACATTTGTGGATTTGCTCTTTTCGTCCTAAAGATTTGTAGCTTTACTGTACAATTCCATTTGCTCTTAAAACTGTGTTCCTGTTCCAGCTTTTAGTGGATGATGCTACTATTTAATTACTCTGGAATGTTTTTTTTTTTTTTTTTGTCTTCACATGCATGATTTTGATGTTCCTGAAACATATTCTTATATTCTTGCATGATTTTGATATTCTTGAAACATTTTCTTGCTATCAATGATTGTCTTACGTACTTCCACCCCCTGATTGTCTAACTTGGCAGTGGCACGCGGATTAAGACCCGCAAACGAAATATTACGATACCGCTGGACCCTGCGTCCTTTTCTGATGCAGTGGTCCAGATTTATCTGGATAATGCTGGTGATTTAGTAATTTCTGCACCATCTTTCTTGATAGCCAGTATAATTTTCTGCATAAAGATGATGTTGATAATTTTATCAATCTGACCATGATTTTCTTGACAGGAACTCATTGCCAGGAACATTGAGTCTTCAGAACTTGACTTCTCAAGATACGGGGACACCTTCTTTGAGGTATCCATTTTGATGGTGTTATACACTCGCACCCTTTTCGTACTTGATACATTTTCTAATGTGAAATGCTTTTGAGGTTCGTACTTCCTGTATCAGTGTTTGGTGACAAGGTTGTCATACTCAACTGCTAACAGATTCTTTTTGACTATGCAAAAGAAGAAAATAAAATTTCCCTCTGTGTGGAAGAGGGAATTTACATTGCTCATGCCCACTTGCCTTCTCCAATTCCCAAAAATTTTGCACCTTTGGTTCTCTTGCCTTTATTAGATTTTCATAGACTCGGCAGATAGGAAACCCAGAGCCAGAGGTTGGGTCATACTGCACTAGACAAGAAATAACTTTCTGGATTACAGCTTTCCAAGATCTGCTGAATTAGAATCTTTACTATATTAAATGGTCTTACAGTTTCTATTGGCTTATTGGAACGTGGAATAAGTTTGTTCTGTTTATAGACTTTTGACAATGTGTTTGTTGGTTTCCTCAGATTGGTTCCTGAAAGCGATGATAATTTTTAGGCCTTTTTCTTTGCTGATGGAACCTACACTATTTCTCAATGGTAGGTTATGGGCTTAAGATTAATCTCCCTAAATTGGCTAGTTGGTATTAATTGTAGTGAGGTGTGGATGGATCAACTTGCTTCATATCTTATGCTCTATCATGTAGTGATTGGGTTCTTAAAAGTAGTTTGGCTCCTTGGATTGAGTAGTGAAGTTTCCTCTCACTTCTCTCACTTCTCTCACATTGTCTATGTTGATAATGCATACCAATTGATGGAATCTAGTAGCTGTCGGGCAGAAAATAAGTCATTTTCTATTAGTTTAGTCTTTGGTTTCTGGGTTTTGAGTTCAAAGTTGAAGAAAAGAGAAGGTTTTCATGTTTTTTTACTTTAGGGGAGCAAGTGCAATGATTGGGTGGTTTTCAGTTGAGTTTCTTCAAAGTTATCTGAGTTCTTTAAGAAGGTAAGCTATGATAAAGACACTTAGGGTATTGTTTGGCTGGGAAAAATTAGCATGGTTGGAGTGCGGAGATTGTGACTTTTTCAAATGAAGGAAAGAAAAGAAGTATAAAAATTCGTTCCCATTGGTGTTGACAAGTGAGGACAGTGTGTATTTTGAGAAATGATATAGATTTGCCACAGGAGATATGAAGATTAATGTCTTTAAGGGACGGGAGACAAGAATTTTGAAGCTATTTTTCTCATGCGATTTTGTCAAGCAGGAAAAGTTTCTGTAGGTTTAAGTTGGGAATTGTGTGATTGTGTTTTGGGAGGCTTGAGGGTTTTTTTCCCTGGTTTCAGGCAGGATTGCATGACTTATATTCTAGGAGGAGTTT